TGTTCCTTATGTAAAGGAAACTAGTATTGGGAAATATTCCTTTCTTACTCTCTTAGAAAAATAAGACATAGTTATCATATGATTATGAGGTCAATCATCCACAGCTACAAATTGCCCAATATTGAAGGAAAAATAGGGGCACTTGTGGGATAGGTTTCCAATACAGAATCTTTCCCAACTTAACTGATATCTAAACACATCTTCTCCCATATTCCCATTTGATATTGTTCATCTCATCTCCTATCCAGGAGCAAAACAGGCTTCAGGCAACTTTGTTGTATCAACCCTTTTCCTCCTTATTCTGACAAGGGCAACCGCAAGACGCATAAAACCTGTCAGCTTTCGCCATCCGTCAACCTGGAACAGTGGTTCTCAACCTTCCCAATGCCGAAACCCTTTAATACAGTTCCTCATGTTGTGACCCCCAACCATAACATTGGTGTCTCTGTTCCTAAGACCATCGAAAATATGTTTTTTCCCCCCGATGGTCTTAGGCGACCCCTGTGAAAGGGTCGTTCGACCCCCCCAAAGGAGTCCGGACCCACAGGTTGAGAACCACTGACCTGGAGGAAAGTCAAGCCGTTGCCAATGATTAGGGACACCGGCAATGCAGGCTGGACAAGGGGCAGTCAATTTCAAGCAGGAATTATTTCCTGCCCACTCGACCACAGGACTTAAATCCGATGGTTGTGAATGCCTCCCTTTTGCTCCACAGAAAAAGCACAAAGAACGGAGCACAAGTAAACCTGCAGCTAAGTACAAACACAACTACGGAGATGTTACTTCTGCTCCGGGCTGGGTATTTCCCTCCCCACCCCCCTGCAGCTCATTTCCCGCACCGAAATAGCCTCAATTCATTTCCACTCCACCAGTTGTAACTTTCCGCTTTTTTAAATCGCAAGAGGGTAGCAACCGTCTTGCTTCTCCTCCCCCTTCCTTCTCTGGAGCAGAGCACGCCGTGTACTGTACTTCAACCCGGTGGCCTTGGCCTGATGATGCGGACTGCACTTGGCTCGAGCGGAGGCGCTACCGCCCGTCGCTTTGAAAGAAAGGAGACGCGAGGCCGCCTCGACAAACCCTGCCGCACCATGCAGAGTCCAGTGCGGCAAATTCCACCTTCGTTGCGTGAAGGGAACGAACAAGGGCGGCGACCTTTGGGGCTATTCCCTTTTCAACCTCTGTCGGTTTCCACCGCATAAGCACCAGTTTCTCCCGGGGCAATTTCTTCCTTGTACCTGCCCTCGCTTTGCACCCTCTCCAGTTAGCTTTCCGAACCCCCTTTGCCTCCCCCCCGCAAATCTAAAGCACTCCACGCGCCTGCAGAGAAGAAAAGGGTTAAATTTAAGAATGGAGCCGAGAAGAAAATGGAGTCAACCTTACAAACGTGAAGCGAGCGGTGTGTGTGTGAGAGAGAGAGAGAGGGGGGAGAGAGGGATTCACACAAACGGTGGAGCGGGTGAGGGGAGTGGTGGAGTTTGGGAGACACTGATGAAAGATGGAGGAGCGGGCCAAGCCTGCCTGAGTTACTACGGATGAGAAGCGGACAGGCGGAATGCGATCTCCCTGAGGCCCCCGCTTGTGGCGCAGGCGAAATAGAAAAAGTACCCACATCACCTCGCTTCCCCCTCCCCCGTCCTTTCCCCCTCTACATTCTCTACGTTTGTATCTTTGGGATACGCGTAAGCCTTTAGCCCCCCTCGGATAACCAGAGCAACGAGGAAGGCAGCCAATGGTCTTTCCGCGCCGCTTCTTCCCTCTGGACCAATCAGGGAGCGTCGCGACCGCAACCTTGCGGTTGGATCGGGCCTGCAGCCAATCAACACAGACAAAGAGGCCGGGAGGGAGGGGGGGACAGCTTTTTAGATGAGGTGATCTCGTGCACTGGCGTCCTCGTGCGGAGCGCCTATAAGTACTAGGTGGAGCCCGTCGCGCGCGCTGTAGACCTTCTGCGGGGAATTCCGGCTGGAGCGGTCGGCGTCTTTTTGAGTGTTGCGTGCGAGCCTCCGGTCTTTTTTCCTTTTGCTCTTCAATCCGTGCGGTCGTCATGAAGACCAAGTTCTGTAACGGCGGCGAGGCCGACCCTTCCTCCCCTCTGGGCTTCCTGCTAGGATGCGCCCCGGGTCCGGTATTACCCCCCGCCCTCACCCAGTCGCCCACCTCGCCCCCGTCTTCTAACGCCGATGCCGAAGTGAAGGAGCTGGGGCTCCGGGGCCAGGGCCACCAACAGCAGCAGCAGCAGCCGCCTCTTGTTCTGCCGCCCACCCCTCCATCCCCGCCGACGGAGGAGCAGCCCGATCCCCGCACCCGGCGCAAGGCGTATCTGTGGTGCCGGGAGTTCTTGCGGGGGGCGTGGCGGGGGCTGCGGGAGGACCAGCTGCGCATCACGCCTATCAGGTTAGCATCTCGCTAGTATCGGGGTAGAGCACGGGGCCGCGAACAGCCGTTGCGTGGGAGGGGGCTAGGCCCCTTCCCACCGGGGCGGTAGCCGCTGGGCTTCTCCTTTATGACATTCCCCGCACGTTTGGAGTGCGTTGCCTTAGCCGCGTCTTTTGGGTCGGCTCGCCCAGAGAGAGAGAAATCTCTTAAAACGGGGGTGTGGTGTGAGGGAGTTGTCTCTGTGTGTGTGTGTGTGTGTGTGTGTGTGTGTGTCGTTCAGCAAAACTGAGGGAAGTGGGGGTGGAGCTGTTAGTTTGGTCTACCTTGTGTCTTTTGTGCTCAAATGGCGGAAATAACCAGATGGCTTTTTCCCTCCTTCACGAAGGGCATTAAAAATCTCCAAAGGCCCTCAAATCCATACTCCCCATGTCTCCCCAGATAGGAATAATGGGGGGGGTGAGTTTTGGGTGGTTATTGAGCCACAAAAAAGTCATCCTGGAAATGATTAATGGAAAGGAGACAGGGAAGGGTGGGAGTGACCGGCTTTTGGAGATTGGTCTAGGCTGCAGAAATTGGACATCAATTTAATTCATGTTTGTAAACTGTAGCTTCTTTAACAAGCAGTGGTTACATGATTTTCACATGTAACCTTTAATCTTTCAAGCAGTCACCAGAAGGTAAATGCTACAGCTAAAACAATCTTGATTTAATGCAGGAGCCAGGTTTTTTTTTACTTGTAAAAACATTTAGAGAAACCAAAGAACCACCAATTAGAGAACCACCTGAAACATTTCTGATTTTGACTTCACACTTAACGATTATACTATAGAGGATAGAATGTAGAAAGACTGCTCATTTAGACTTCTTGCCAGACTATAGAATGAATAATGATGAACAAACCAGCTTCAAGCAGTATTTTTTATTCAGACTTGCAAGGTAATTTAAATTCAGGTATCACATTAATCTATAAAGTTTTCTTAAGATTGGTTATTTATGCCTTTTCTAGATTAGCTAATACTGGAAAAAAATTGTGATAGAAGATAATCACAAGCCTTTCTTTTTTGAGTATATATCTATTTGCAATAATTTTGTAATACGTTGCAATGTTTTTTTTTCTGTAGTAAAAATATTACTTCAAATATTTAAAAATGTATGACTGTCACTTTTGATCATGAGGGTATTACATGCTAAGTAAAATGATCTACTATGAAAGCTTACATAGTCTGGTATGAGGAAAAACCTTTATGACTTCAGATTCTTAACAATCTTAATGAAGCTTCAATGCATTTTGTTTTGTTGTTAAACTCTTGAAATGCCCCATAAAATTGGTTGATTACTTTTAACAGTCACTATTAGCAACTGTCTCAAGTACGCATAGCATAAAATGTTTTAGAGATAAATTCATAGTTTGAGATGATATTTTAAAGTTTGGGCCATATGGGGTGGTTTCAGGACAATGAAGACTTGTATTGCTTCTGTCCTCTTTTTAATAAGACCGCTTAGCAATAAGAGTCATTTCTTGACTGCAAGTTCCTGTAAAACGTTAAATGCCTTTCTCTGACTCATAATCCCAACAGTAACTGCCTTGCATATAGTGCTAGGGGAATAAAGATTAAGAAGTTTCTTAATTTTATTTATTGCTATTAAAATTATGTATGTTTTCAGAATTATGTGAAAAGTTTAGTTTTTTTAAAAGTTATGTTTGTGCACCAGAGAGAAATGTTGAACTTTGGTCTAATTTCTTTTTTGCTTGAGTGGCAACCTTGTTAATGTAGAACAGCCTTCTTTGCCAATAGGAAAGAGTTGAGTGGAAATGTGGTGAAATTTATTCTGCTAAAACATCTTTTTTCCCCTAATAAAACCAGATTCCCACCCCCCCAGCATAGCTGGAAGAGGTTGCTTAGCCTTCAAATCCAGCATCTCTCATTCTAGAAAAGAAAATTAAAGCATATATGACAAATAGCTGCCCAGCCCCTACTCTGACATCTGCTTTGTTGCACCTAAATTTATATATTTCCTACTGGAATCTAAGAAGCTTGCCTCTTTAATGCATAATCAAAACAACGCTGCATTCTTAAAACTTTTAATGAACTATTTATGTAATTAGTAAATTCGTTCCTGCAGTTGTGGATGTTGTCTGGATAGGGAAATCAAACCACAAATTTGATTTATTTAATGGAGAGAGCAGTCCTGCTGTTAGCAGCCTAAATTTAATACTTGATATTTGAAAAGGTATTAACTTTTAGAGAGCAAAATATAGAAATATGAAATGAATGGGTGAAGTGATCACTTTCTACCTTTATATACTTGAGACTAGTGATAGCACTCAGTGACTAATTTTAACTTTTAAACAATAGGATTGCATAAAATAATCACTGGTACAACCTCTATGCTGTCAAAGATACTTGTTTCATTTAGCAGATTGAAAAGTAAGTAGCTAGAACAGGGGTCAGCAACCTTACACACTCAAAGAGCCATTTGGACCATTTCCCACAGAAAAGAAAACACTGGGAGCCACAATACCCTGCCCGTGCCTGACTATTTCCTGAGCAGCCGCGAGACTAGTATATGTAATTAAATTAAACATTCTGTTTTCTTCTGAAACTTTTATTTTCTTGGATTTAACCATGGTTGGTCTACCGGGTGTTGAAAAGCTCAATAAATCATCTGCCAGCAGATGTTGCACCTTGGCGGTTGTGATGCATATTTTGAGCAACAGGCTGCAGCAGAGGGATGAAAGAGCCACATGCGGTTCCAGAGTCGCGGGTTGCTGCCCCCTGGACTAGAACAAAACTGTAGAATAACTAATTTGAATTCAAGCTATAGAAAACGGCAAAGTTTATAACAATATCAACTTAAATGAACTTATGGTAAGGCTGATCAATAGAGAGGATTCTCTGAAGGGAAGATGGTATGGATGGTCAAGAAATGTGATGATTCTAATAACTAGTTTTGGTAGCTATGAAATGGCTAGCTTAAATGACAGCTAGACATCAAATGTCTGTAACCTTTACTGGATGAAAAAATGCATTAAAGAGCAAAATGTTTTGAACTAAAGCATCTCAAATGAACTAGCTTACAAAACACATCCAAAATTAAGAGGTGACTTGTGGCATTGAAATTTGGCCAGTTTTAAAAAATATTTTATGACATAAAACTTAGCATAAAGCATTTATGGCACAATACAAAATGTCATAAAACATTTCCTGTAGTTAATTTTTATTATTGTACTGTACTATATAGTTCACCATGGGCTACTCTTAAGGCAGATCCATCTCTGAATATATCTCTGAATTTTTAAGAACTTTTCAAGTATATACTGTAGGTAATTCTCACTTAACAACTGGTCAAATTAACAATCTCAGATAGGCTGCGTTACATCTTGTAAAGCACTCCCGCAAGTACCCCTAAGGTCACATGATTGCAATATGGATGTTTCGCAATCTGTGCACCTATGACAGGTACAATCCACAATCATGTGATCACCATATGCAATCTTTGCCAACTTCCCCAGAAAGTCAATGGTGAAGCTGGTAGGGAAGCTGCAAATTGCTGCCCCCTGCTGAGATAATTCTTCCTGTCTCTGGGACTGGCTGAAAGAGCTCCCTACCGAAACTTTCAGCTCACCTGCTGAAATCCAAACAGTCACTGCACTGAAATCCTCCTTTCTCTGCATCTCACCATCTGTGCAGGCAGAGAAAAAAAAAGGATTTTATCTCCATTTGTTTGCATAATGAGCCCTGTTAACAACTGCTACTGAAAGTTCAGTCATTGACTGAAGAAGTCACATGATGTCTTGCTTAACAATTGATTTGTTCAACAAGTAAGATTCTGGTTCCAACCATTCTGGTTGTTAAGCACAGACTACCTGTATTAAAAGCTCTGCCATTGTTGAAGAGATTGAGGAATATGGTAAGGAGGAAATATTTCTACAACAATGACTCAAGAGGTTATGGGTTGTCTTATAGGGATAGTTTAGGATTTTTACAGGGCCTTCTGTCCTGTATTCTACTCCATTATTTTGAAGCACCCAGCATAAACAATTGCCAAGATGCTTGACATTTTTGGGGATTATTGAAGTGTACACAGATAGTTCTCATTTACTGATTGCATAGTTTAGTAACCATTTGATGTTACAACAGTATATGTATATAAAAAACCTGTGTGACCAATCCTCAAATTTATGATTATTTCAGTGTCCTGAAGTCACATGATCACCATTTTGAACCTTGTTCTTAATTATGTTTTCTAACTCCTTTTAGTTAGGAGTTTATCTTATTGTAAACTGTCCAGAGTCACTAAGGTGGAATACGTCGTGTAGAAGTTTAATAAAATAAAATAAAATTTGCATGCCCAACCATCTTGCAACAAGCAGACTTAATGGAAAATATGGAAGTAAAATCATAAATGTGATTCGCTTAATCACCAAATGGAAAATGTTGCCTGTTCGTTGCAGCTACCGGTACGTAATTTTCTGCTTAGCAACTGAGAAGATGATCCAATTGTGGTTACTAAGCGAGGACTACCTGTACATTTTTCTTTCAAGTCAAATTTCTTCAAGACTGTCTAATTTGAGATTATTCAAGTAAGAGCAACAATAGTGTCCAATTCAACATGAAACAAATTGTTTAATTTTCTTTACATTTGTGAATTTACAGGCAGGGCTTTTCTTATTGGAGAAAGCCAACTGGTTTTGGGATTCCAACTAGCTGCTTTCCCTTTCTTCCTTAGAAAACTAAAAAACGCAGCTGTTACATCCTAGCAGTACCTGCTGGGTTTAATATTTAAACTTTGTTGAAGTTGCAAAAGAAAAGCACTCTATTTGTACAAAGAAACTCAAAAGAAAGACTGCTCACTTCTGCTTTTCAGAAAAAAGAAGACAACCTTTGGAATGCTACCTGAAAAACCTGTCTTCTGTCATGAAAATTTAGAAAGAAAAAATAGTGCTACCTTGGGGGCAAACATAGATGTTACTGGTAATAGTCTGTGGGACTGTTAGTGCTATTAAGTTGGCTGTGGGGTAAATCTATCCAATGGCTTTTTATGTGGCAAAGGTTGTACTCAAAAACTAGGCAGAGCTAGACTAGAGTGGACAAAGCCAGATACTAGGCTGTGTTTTCTCTACATAATCATAAAATCTATCAAGGCGAAATAAAAAAAAATGAATAGTGGAATTTTTCCTCTGTCAGATGCTAAATTTGAATTTTAAAAATTGTAATATAATTGCTACATGCAGAACTGCTTGTTTTCTGGACAGTCCTAGATTTTAGTTCTCATTTTGATTCCCAGAACATTTCTGAGCCAGTTGTTGATCCAGAAATCTACACTATGGCACTGCATTTTGAAATGGCTCTAGTCTAAGAGAGAAATGTGGGAGAATGGGTTTAAAAAAACCAGGAAGGGTGGGGATGACTTATGACTGGTCACTTAGCAAGCATTCAGAGATATGACAGACTTCTGAAGGTACTTGCTACCTGGATTTGAAGTTTCAACGACCACGTTCTCTCCACCCCTGGGTATTTGGCAGCTGGCCTGCATTTATGGCTGTATGCAGAATCTCACTGTTAAGGTAAAGTTTCTCCTCGCACATACATGCTAGTCATTCCCGACTCTAGTGGGCGATGCTCATCTCCATTTCAAAGCCAAAGAGCCAAGGCTGTCCGAAGATGTCTCCGTGGTCATCTGGCTGGCATGACTAAATGCCAAAGGCGCACAGAACACTGTTACCTTCCCACTAAAGTGGTCCCTATTTGTCTACTTGGATTTTTTACATGCTTTTGAACTGCTAGGTTGGCAGAAGCTGGGACAAGTAATGGAAGCTGCGCTTTGTGGTGGTTGCTTTACAACCATCATGATGTATGACTACAATGGGCAGGCTCCATTATTGTTATAATTTGAGGACTTCCTGTACTAAGAAATGGGAAGATAAATTGTGAACCTGCTCAGTTCTTTAATTGTAAAATCTATTTTTAATAGTCTATACAACAGAATACATTATTACACTAATGCCATTATGCTGCTATTAATGTCTTTCTAACATGTAAGATTAAATAACGACTACAGTAAATATGGTATATAATTAAATGTATATGTTCATAAAGTGTTTTTATTGGAATATTATTATGAGACCAAATCAATTTTGTGCAATGATAACTGAATATGAGTATTGTTTAAATATATTTACTAAATGAGGCCCATGATTTTATTTAATATTCTGAAAATATGCCACAAGCATAATCACAAAATGGCTGTTCTGGGTATGACTAAGCATAAATGTCTGTCATGGAGATAAACTTAGTAACAAAATGGGAATTCTCCCCTTTGTGTGTGCCTGCACTGATCTGTCCGGACTGGAAAAAAAAGAAAACAGGAAGAGACAGATTAAATGCAAGCAAGAAATATGATTTGGGGTTCAAAACAGAGGCCACTAATTGAACTTGATTTTTTTCTGCTCCAAAAGGTCTTTATGCAGAAAGCTACATGAATCTAGGCACAGCAAATTTGGATTTGAATCCAAAATATGAGTCCATTTTTCACACTTGTGTTCAGAATCATATAGTCCAGATCTTACTTGAATACTGACACTCTCCTGTGCTAAATTAAAAAAAATGATTTTTTTTTGTAGAGGAGGACTGAGCAACATGCTATTCCAGTGTTCTTTGCCTGACACTATAGAGACTGTTGCAGATGAACCACGTACTGTTCTTCTTCGTTTATATGGTGCAATTCTGCAAATGGTGAGTATTGTTAGAACAATGGGGAAAATGATTTCATATTGTATATATGAATAATATACATTTCAGCTGTTCCACCTATGTTGGTTTATTTATTGCATTAAAATATATGGTTTTTAATGTAAACCTCAAGTGTGTTTGAAATACAAAATATCTATTAGTTTTTGTCAACTATACACGTAGAACTCTTGTTTTAAGCACTTATTATTGGCTCATCATTATGCAGATCTGAATTGAGAAACAACATTGCTTATAACTTTGTTCACTCCCTGGCTCTGAACTGAATCATTAGCCTTGAGTAATAGTGACTTACACATCTTTTCCCAAAATGATTCTTGCAGGAAACCCATACCAAGCTTTTATTGTTGTTTAAGCAACATTACATTTGATATAAGTTTCTCCTTTCCCATGTTTCTACTTGCAGGTGTTAATATTAATTACTTTTAACATATCCACCATATAGTGATATGGATTAGTCTAGAAATGATAAAAGAAAGATTCTGTATAACACACAGGAGGTGGCCTCTCCATTCTCTCCATTGAAAAAAATTGGCTTTTGGAATAATAAGGATTCTTCTTTACTGTTCATTGATTTGCTTGTCAGCCCCAAGTATACTTTCAGGCATTGGGCGAAAAATAATAAAAATAAATCATATTTCTCATGCTAAAAATTTAGTGAAAGATAAAAGTAATTTTAAAAAATCTAAGATACAATCAAACATGTAAATAGTTTGAATATGTTAATATGTTAATGAACATTTTAAGAGATTAAATGTAGATTTAAACATTTAATAAATATTGGATTTTTAAAAAATGCCTGGCACTGAAAAGGTAACAGGATTGGTGCTAGTCTCTGCCCCCCTCGCGCACACACTTCTCCATGGAAGTCATATCTACATTACCTCAGGTGATTATGGCATCTGGAAAAGATTCTGAAGGTACCATCAAATAAATACAGCAGCAGGTGTTATATAGAAGTTAGAAGTTGAATTGGCTGCAGTTTCCAGGTAGTTTTCACAGGTGATTCTCTCTAGTATAATTGGTTTTGGACCAGGATTGAGGTGACCAGATTCAAATCTACCTCAGCTTATGAAAGCTCACTGGGCAATTTTGAGGCAGTTATTCTCTGTAACTCCCATATATCTCACAGGCTTGCTTTTGGGGAAGAATTGAAGAAGAGAGATCTATTTACATCACTTTGACTTTCTAGACAAAATATAAGATATAAGTTTAACAAATTATGTACAGTTTATGCAATACAGGTAGTCCTCAAATTACAACCAAAATTGAGCCCCAAATTTCTGTAGTTAAGCAAGGCAGTTAAGTGAGTTTTGCCTCATTTTACAATATTTTTGCCATAGTTATTAAGCAAATGATTGCAGTTATTAAGTTAATCATGCAATCATTAAGTGAATCTGGCTCTCCCCCCCCCCTTGACTTTGCTTCTCAAAAGCTGGCAGGGAAGGTTACAAAAATTTATCACATGACCCGGGAAAGTGCAACTGTCATATTGTAAATATATGCCAGTTGCCAAGATCCCAAATTTGGATCACATAACTGGGGAAACAGCATTGGTCATAAGTGTGACAAATGGTCACAAGTCACTTTTTCAATGCTGTTCTAACTTTGACGGTCACTAAAAAAATAGTCGTAAGACAAGGACTACCTGTAATTGATCCTAGCCGTTATCAGAATATGTATAGCAATGACTTAATTTATCTATACCAAGTTTAGATTCTGATTCTCACAGCCCATATAGGAGTCATTGAGACTACATAGAGTGAATCTGGAGTACCCTGAGATTGCAAAAATCTGCTTATGTTCGTAAGGCTCTCCCTTATTAAACCCATGAAATTCCATCTTATGTAGATATTGTATCAATAACGGGTGCAAGACCTGCTGCATTTTTGTGTAAAGGTGGTGCTATATCACAGAATTTACACAAATATGTTCTGATTATTTAATATAAATCCCAATGAAGCAAATGGATTTGTTCCCAAGTAGTGCTTTTAAGTGAGATGCCTAGAATTGATCCAGTGGGAAAAAGAGACAGAAATGTTACAAATAACCATTTTCTGCTCATTGAAGTATTTATTACCACTTTTAACATTGCTAATACTATGAAATTAGGTTTGAAATTGGCCTGAAGCCATTGCTTGTTAATTAATTATTTGTAGAAATTGTTGTAATCCTAAATTGCCAGTTGTTTAACAGAAAAATCTATAAGGTTAACATTATTCATAATTGAGTATCACTGTTGTTTACTTTCTAAACATATGCATATTCATAGTATAGAATGATACAGCAAGACAATAATAATGTCTAAAATAGGTCTTTTGGATAGCTTTACAGATTAGATAATCTGACATTAATTGAAATAATAGTTCTTGTAATGTATCATCCCAAAATTTTAAAGATGTGTTCCATCACAACATTGTTCAGTAGTGACAGAAGATGTAGAAATTGTGTTTAAAGCTTGATAAATTAATGTACTGTAATATAGCTTTCCTTCCATTAAGAATCCTTAGTGCAATTTTTTGATTTGGTTCTTAAAAGAGTACTCATGATAGTACTGTATTCAATTTCTTATAACTAGAATACTCCTGAACTCCAAATACATTGAAATTCAATATTAAATGCCACTTGAGTGTATAGTGAGAGTAATCCTGAGCATAATTTATTATAGCTGTATGTTTTGAAGCTTGGATTATATATTGCAAAGTAAAAAGTAACAAGTTGAAATCTTGCAAGGCAATAACCAAAGAAATAGATCTTTGCTGTTGCTGATTTATTGCTGTGACCTAAAATACTGGTGCTAGAACTACAATTCAAAATAACTGTTTAGTATTTTACATTAATTTACAAATGAATTAAGTCATACTGCTATTATTATTTAGTGCATAAGATTACATATTTTTTAAAATTTGTCTGCAGAGTAAATACAAATTAGCGCCTGGTTGTGATCAGCTCATTTTCATTTCAAAATATAGTGGAGTTTTCAGAACTTTAATATGTACTAGCATGCATTTTGACATAAATACTGTAATTTCAGTACTCTGAATATTTAGTCTTACAGAATCATAAATTGGATTGGATTGGATTGTGCTTAAGCTTCCCCCAAAATAACTATTTTTATAATATATTTTCTGCCTTTTTATGAAGAAAATAATTCAGAATTTTTAGATTCAGTTCAACTTTGGCTGCTCATTTGAGTATTCTATTTTTTTTTTTACTTGGTATTAAGATTTTTGAAGATATCTAACTTCCTTTATTTCCATAGTGGCAGTGAAATGACTGTTTTTGTTGGTGCAGTTCACTAAGGTTTAAGTAAGCAGAGACAGTCCTAAGGTAACACTTTCAGATTATATTGAGGGTCTCAGTATAAACATTTGTCTCTTTCTAAACTATTTTTAATGCATAAGCAAACTGATTTTTTTTCCTAGTGTCACACTTTGCAATCAAAAATCAATAAAGTAATAAAAATAAAACTGAAGCTGATGTTAATCTTACAGTGCATATTCACAATTTTTTCATTTAGATTCTTAACTGTAATTTTTATGGATAAAGGCTGAGTTAAGAATGGCACCTTGTATTTAATTTAAATGAATTTCTAACTTTTTAAGTTAGAAGTAATGCTTATATTACACTGGCATTCAGAAAATAATTGTTCCCATTTTCAGATTCATATCAATTCTTAGGACCAAACTTTTAACTCTCCAGTTCTTTTATTCCAAATTTGAAAAGTACTAATTGGAGGATACTTTACCAGTTCTTCATATTCCAACTGAAATGACATTTTTTTTAAAAAAAAATGTGCCCTGCTGTTTACTTCCCAACATAGTCCAGTTTGCTTATCATAAATACTGGAAGACACAAATGTCAGTGCATACATACTGTTCAATTATATTGCTTTAAGTTGGCTACAAGAAAATGCAGAAAAGACTTGGGAAATTCCTCAGCCAACTTTTATTTTGTGCCACTATGCTGTGTAATATGAGGCTAGTAAGTAAGTTGTAAAAATTTTGTCAGCTTGTCTGAGATTAATAGAAAGAACAATATTATTGGTCGGTGTATACATCTGAAAGGCAGTTATTAAAGCAATTTAAATAAATAGAATTACTCCTTACTACTATAAAAATGTACAAATTGCGTTATTGTGTATTGTTTGCTTGTGGCAGAAATCCCATTTTAGCCAAATAAAGAGAATATTTGGGGGGAGGGGAGATGGTTCATGCTCTATTTTATCAGCCAGATATTAGAATTCTGTTGTTATTACCAGCCTGTCTCAGTTTTAATAAAATAGAAAACATTTAAGACTATTTAATGTTCACTAATCACATATAGATTGACTGCAATTGCTTGGTATTGCATACCTACTTCCTACTTTTTATTTGTTTGTAACTCAGTAAATATGTGGAATTCTGTAAGTGTAATGCTCCTTCACTGTTGAAATTTTTGCTTTGAATTACCTGGTAGCAAGAGATAACTACAAATGCCTATTTATTGGCATATAGAATTCCTGATAAGGGGACACTTGTTTTGTTGGGTGGCGTTAAGGGTCATCTGAGGGTAATGTACCATTTTAGTTGTATGTGCATGTGTTCTCTGCTGCAGGCTTGTCCATGCGATCGTGCCTAGAGCACTCTGGTTTCCAGGTGACAGACACGATTCACGGTATAGTATGAGATCTCTGAAGTTGGAGCATTCTCTGCTGGTTTCATTTCCTTTGGGCTCAGAGTATGAGGCTATGATGAAAAAGCTTATTTTTTATAGATATTTTTGTAATATCTGCACAGTTAAATGGAAACTGTAAATGGATTGCACCATTCCATCTTTTTGCTCCCTTAAAAGAATGGTAACTTTATCAGAAGTAAAAAGGATTAGGGATGTTCTTGGGATTTAAAAAAACCAGTATTACTAATAAGTCCCTACATCAGAAGTTCCCCATGTGCAGTTTATATCAAGACCACAGAATAAGATACTAACTGTGAGATATAAAAATTCACTTTAGATATTCAATGCAACTCTACCCATATCCTGTGGAGTTTCTTTGAGTACTCTACAACAGGTCTCCAAACTTGGCAACTGGAAAACTTGTGGACTTTAAGTCCCAGAATTCCTCAGCCAGCCATGCCCACTGGGAAATTCTGGAAGTTAAAATCCACAAGTCTTCAAGTTGCCAAGGTTAGGGAGCCCTGCTCTACAAATAAATATGCTGACCAATAATTAAACCTGTAATTTAATGCCCCCATCTGATTTTTTTAGTGAACACAAAATGTTATTTTTAATAAAAAGTGAACAATTTCTCTTTATGCTTATAATTTGAGAGATTGGTGTAGGCGCTCTCAACAAAATGGCTGCCATGAAGGATATGATGCCATATAATACATTTACCAGTAAGTGATAGTTCCCAGACATCTCTCTACAAAGCTTTCAATCCCAGTTTTTTACAGAGACAAATGGTTGAATTTCTAAGGAAGGCACTGGATTACAAGTGTTTTCTCTACATTCATTTACTAAGAAGAGCTTAATTTTTATAGCAATTAAACATTACAATTAAAAAGAAAAAATATAATACAAACTACAAGAAAAAGAAAAAATATGCAGAAAAGAAAAAATAGAAAAATAAGAATATACTTTTAAAAAGAAAAGAAATATATAAAGAAATGGCTTTACCCTTCTCTTAAAATACAACAAATGATCTCTTCTAGTGTCTCATCTCTTACCTATAAATAAATCCTTAAAACCTCATCATTCAGTCCTGGTCAGTAAGAATCAATTAAGGGTTACCAGAGATGACAGCATACCTATTTTAAGCTTGATCAAATAAACTAACTTTATATTCCTTTCTTTTATTTTTAACAATCATGATATTTAATTCATTCAAAAGATATCCTAGAACTTGATTTTTTTATTTGTTTTCTTTTTTTCCATAAAATTCTTCAAAGTTTAATATCATCTTTTTTATAAATCCAATATGGGAAAGGCCCCAAATCCAAGTCACTCTTTGGTTTGGCATTTGTATATTCCCCTCTAAATATTAAGACATCAGCGGCTTTCATTTGCATGTCCAATATAGCATCTCCTTCCATATGATTCTTGTAGTGTGTCATTTTTAAATGCACTTTCAGATCAATGTTAGTCTTAATCTCAAGTCTAGTGAAACTTGTTCCTATTCTATAACATCTTTTGTCTATAATGGCAAGCACTCTTAAAATTCACTTTTGCGGCCATTGTTCCCAAACATTCTTCAGTGCATCCAGTGTTCAAGTATTTTGCTCCATTCTGTAATAGTAAATCAAATTTAAATGTTCTTCTCTTTTAATTGTAATCTTTAGTACCTTCTGTTCCCTTTAGTTTGCACTTGTCAAATTCCAATCCTATCTTTTTTTAAGAATTCAAAAGAATAGCATTTTCTCATGGAAAGGATTCTTATAATTAATTTCAAATTTTTATTTTGAATCCATCTGAACCCTTAAGTCTGTAACTTTCTGAAGTCAGAGTTCTAATCACCCATTTGCTGTTTATTCCAAAAGTTTTAAATCCTTAAACTTATTTCACTAATGATTGAAGGAAACTCACTGGATGCTACAAAACTTGTCAAATCAAAGGTTTCTAATACAAGTCATCATAGACTTACAATCATTCATTTAGTGACCATTCAGAGTCACAATGGCACTGAAAAAGTGACTTATAACTGGTATTCACACTCCTCACAGGATCCTCACATTCAGATCAACATTCAGTTGCTTGGCAATTGGAATATTTACAAGGGTTGTCACATTCTAGGGTCATGTGATCGCCATTTGCAGCCTTCCCAGCTAACTTCCAACAAGAAAAATCAATGGAAGAAGCTGGATTTGCTTAATGACACTTGATTCACTTAACTGCAGTGATTTGCTTAATAGCCGTGGCATAAAAGTCATAAAATCGGATATGACTTAAAAACTGCTTTGTTTACCAACAGAAATTTCATTTCCTATTTTGGTTGTAAGTCAAGGATTACCTGTAGCTGTATAGCAATTAGCAAGCAATATATTCATTTTAGCAAGTTCACATGCAAATTGATTGACTTCATGAAAATCTATTAAGCAGCTCATATTCCCAAGCAGAAAGCATGGATTCTTAAATATATGGTTATACTACATAGGTAATTAAACATAGCTGGCCTTTACACTATTATATCAGACCATTAGAATTGCATCTTGCAACTTTTTAAATGAACTGTACAATAATGTTTTTAAAAATTATTGGAAGTTGAGAAAATATGCTACTTTTATGCACACAATATGTAAACTGCAATGTGACTCTGTTGGTCTGATTATTTTTGTTTCAGGAATTCCTGAAGCAAATCTTCAACAAATTAATTTTATATTAGCCCAGGCCATCAATATAATATAGACATATGACTGCTTTAATGTAAAGTGATGTAGGACTATTCTACCTAATGGTTTTTCATTCTTTTCAAATATACTAAGCAATTTTGAAACACCTTAATTCTGGATTACATTTTTAGAAGCAAGTCCCATTGATTTTAGAATGTCTGTATTAGGCATTATTTGTAACTCGCAGTATACAAGACTATTGTGCAATTCTCTTTCAATGAAATCTTTTGGATATTATATTCCTCCCCATTTTTTCTTTAAATTAAAACTCAGTCATGTTAACTAGGTTCATTATGTGCTTATTTGAGTGTGGCAAATACAAAAATACTAGCAAGTTTCCATATTTGTGCGATCCAAATGACTTACAATCATTTGTTTAGAGACAAATTTTACAATCACATCCAAAAGTAACCAGTATGACCAGTCCTCATATTTATGACTGTTGCAGCTTCCCCATGGTCCAAATTCAGATGCTTAGCAACTGGAGCATATTTACAACGGTTGTAGCATCCCAGGGTCATGTGATCTTCATTTGCTACCTTCCCAGCTGGCTTCTGACAACAAATGTCAATAGGAGACCAGATTCGAATGCTTCATTTAACAATTATGGTGATTTGGTTAAGGATCATGGCAAAATAGCTTGTAAAATCAATCAAAACTCATTTAGCAATAATCTTGCCTACTAATGGAAAATCTGGTCCCAAAATTGTTGAGGACTATCTGCAAGTTAAAATAAACACCTGTTAAAATTCTGAGGAAAGCCTCTCTAATCCAGTTTGCTTCTGATGGATTGTACTATCAAAAAGGAGCAATAAGCCAGAAATACCTCTGGTTAATATATAACTTTGATTGTTATTCAACAAGTAGACAGTTAGTGATTGTCAGTTAGTGGCAGTGACATAATGTTTGCATAACATTTCTATTTAATATGCAGTTCTAAGCTTGCCTTTGTGAATATTCACAATAATCTCTGCTTTAATTAAATATAATTTTATAGAAAAATGTATGAGTATCTGCTAATATAGTGTTTTAATGGAAATACTTTATTGTAGAGAAAAGTTTTCAGATTGAAGCAATTGAGCAATTTTGTAGCACAACTCTTGAATTGGTTATTCATTTGTTAATTTGTAGAAGTATGATGCAAAATAAAAAACTATGCTCAGTTCCATTATCACCTTTAAATAATTTTGGTGAAAGGCTCTCTGTAGGAGTCTTTAAATGTAGTTTGGTTTTAAACATATCTGTTATTAGAAGTACAACATTGGAAATTACATTAAAATGCCATATATGATATATTCATTGGAACTGGGAAATGGAACAGACCTATGTCTTTCATAGCTTTGAAAGCCTTAATGGGTTACAAAGCTTGCATTAGTTACAAGGAAAGCATGTGCCATTGAACCAGACATCAATACAAAACCAAAAACGTTAGAATGTGTTTAAATCTAGATGCTAAGAAACACCCTGCTGTCTACCAACTCTGAAATTCCTTGATCTTTATTTTGATTTGCTTAAATTGCCTTGAAACATGACTGGTGAGCATATATAAAATGTATTAAAATATTGTTACTTTACAGTGTAAAAGACATCTGTCAACAAATGGTTACTGGGATAAGTGAGTGCCTTCTTTACCTATACAACTAGATAATGCTTCCACTAGATTTTGTATCTAGTAGTTGCTCCTGTAATAATTGGTTTATACTGTGATGCTAGCTTTATATTTGTTAGTATATCTAGTTAGTGCTGAACCCTCATTTATATTCCAAAATCAGGATATTGTGTACCTGGAATATTTGGTAGACAAGGAGATGACTACATATCATATATAATGGTCTTGTCTGTCTGTTATTCTAGGCAGATTTACACAATGGAGTTCAATGGCACATCCTTTTTGAATAATTTGACGTGATACCTCGTGTAAATGATAGGAGTTCCATCAAAATCTCTGATACTTTGTAAGATAATTGTTGAACATACATTCTAAATATAGCTGATCTTCCTGGCTCTCCTTATTATGGTGGCTACAGATTGATTCATATTAGTTTTCAACGTCTCATTGGAAATGTTGGATTTTCTCATTCATAGAGGTCCTGTAATAAAGGAGGATCTGGACAGGCTCAAAAGGAGAATGATTTACAAGTAAGTACTGTCTTGCTGAATTTCCATATCTAATTAGTACAGTACATGCAGGGTAATTGCTATCTGCTTGTCTTTTATCCCTGTCTCCACAACCGTTTGAAAATGACTTCTCTGTTGGAGGTGGGAAGAGCTTAAAAAAGTACTTCTGTAGGAGTAACAGAGCTAAAGTAACTTCCTTTGGCATAGACCTGCGGTATATTTCTCTTCAATAATTTGTCACAAAATCTGCTTTGAATTGATACAAAACCTAACCAAAAAATATTTCCTTAAACCACAAGATATGAGTCATTTTGAGACATCAGAGAAATGGTACTTCCAAAACCTCCATTCTTTATCTTTACTAGCAGCAACAGGAGCTAGGGCAAAAAAGATTTTTTGGAGAAAAGAACAAACTGTTGAGAAAGATTCTTACATGTGACAGGAGTAATATATAAGAATGATATCCTAGAATTAAGATCGGGAATATATTCATATCAGCTGGGGAGAATCAGTGCCTCAAATCAGATGAAGCAAATAATGTACGTAGTATATACAGAATATATAAAATCGTATGTATTAGATTGGGATTTTAACTGCACAATTAAATGGCTTTTTATCTGGAGAAAAATGTGGGGGAAGAGAACTGTAACCTTGAACTGCATTTCAAAAGTAACACCAGCCGGTTGTAGTCAATAAAAACCAGCTGTAACAGTCATGGGGAAAGCTACAGATGCTCATGTAAGCAAGTATATTGAGCCAAAATGCCTTCAGGCACTCTAAAGGCTTCCTTATCCAGCAGTATTGAGAAAACTTTGACTTGTGAAGCATTTAGTAGCAAAAACAAGAGCTATGACAGTTCCAATCTAGTACTGAGCTCCTGTTTGTATCCTAATCAAGTATGAAAATAGAAAAGACCATCACCACCTCTTCAAGATATTTTCCCCAAATTCATGGGAAGCCTTAATTAAGTAGAAGTATACAAACTCGCATGTTAAAAAGAAATATTTAATTTATTGGCACAATGTATACAATTGCCTATCTCACTATATGACTCTAAAACAAAAGCATAATTTACAAAATGAACATTTCAAAATAATGATCCAAAATAGTCTTCATAACAACATATGATTGGATTCCATTTTCAGTCGATAAATGTGACAGATACACCTACATGGTTTAACTCCTTGGCCCAAATGTCTGAAGGATCTTCCAGGTTTTGAATGTCTTATGTAAGGTCAAGAGGGCTAGAGATACCTTTGATCACCAGGAGGACATTGTTCCATAAGGCAAGTGCCTTAACAGCAAAAAACCACAACTTTCAAGTTTGCTGATTGAAGGGACCTTTTAGTTCTTGGTGGGCAAGCAGAAACAGCTGCTGTATATCTTATAGGCCTTATAAGATGGTATGAGTCAGCTACTGTGAGAAGGACTTCCTGGTCAATAGGGGAAATTTGTGTACAAGATGAACCTGTGTAAAATCCCTTTTAGCCACAGTTGCAACTAGCAATTTGAGCAGGAGCTGTGAGTCCAGGAAGACTCAGATTGCTCATCAGCTTTGCCTAGTGCTGCCGCATTCAGAGATAAGGTTGGAAAGTCTCCAAAACTGGGGAGAGTGGTCTCAATATGCTGATATACTCAGTTTTACTAGGGTTGAATTGAAGCCGGTTCTTCTTCATCTGGACCCCAACACTGGACATTACCTTAACAACATTACAGGTAATCCTCAGTTAATAGTAATTGGGACTCGAAGATCTGTCGCCAAGCGATATGGTCTTACAGCTTGATGTCACATGACTCCTTCACTTAGTGATAGCAATCCTGGTAGTTCCTGTTGCTATTGTTAACCAAATCACACATGTTCTTAGGTGAGGACCACCCTGATCCAAGCCATGGTTTCTCCTCCCCCCTCCAAGCCTTGTTAAGTGAAGGGATTCTCTTCTCTTGAACTACCCCCACCTGCCTGTCTCCTCAGTCCAGTGATGGCTTCTTAAAGTCAGTGTGGATAACTGCTTCTTTTAAAGCAGATAACACAACCCAGCATTAGCCACTGAAACCAACCATATGTCACCTTCCAGGAGGCTTTACCAACCAGGAGAGGTATAGATATAAAACACAGATGACTGGACTTCTGTGGACCTAGCTAGTTAATCGGGAGTAGTGTGACTTCTTAGATAACTTGAGGAAGTTTTCATTAGATACATCGCATTTATCTTTAATTGGCAGGTGAGCGTACATGTCAAAAGGTGAATCCTGTGACAATTCTATTGAAAATTTAAGATAAACATTGTAACTATTCACTCAATAGTAGTTAGCTGTATAAACAATTATTTTAGCCTAGTTTTAAAGAATCAGAAAATTTTCTATCATAGCAGTACTGTTTTCATGTCTGTTTTGTCTGATTTTGTTCCATTTGAAATACTGTTCTATTTTCTTTCTTCAGTTATACATAATTAGGGGTAGTAGTTTTAGCTTCTGGGATTTGTTTCTAAGTAATCTGTTTGGTTTCCCACATTGTCAGATGTGTATATGAATGTATTAGCTTGAAGAATACCTGCTTATGCTCACTGGTATCCCCATTCTGAGATATACAACTAAGCATCAGCCTATAGTCGTGATAGCGAACCTATGGCACGCGTGTTACAGGTGGCATGTGGAGTCGTTTGTTAGGGCATGTAAGTCGTTGCCTTGACAGCTTCAGTGCACATGTGCGCACTGGCCAGCTGACTTCAGCCTTCATTTTTGGCCATTTTTCATCCTCCGGAGGCTTCAGGGAAGCCATTTTCGCCCTCCCCAGGCTCCTAGAAAGCCTCTGGAGCCTGGAGAGGGCGAAAAATGGGTCCATCGCACGCCGAAGGCGGAGGTCACACATGCATGCATGGGGGGTATCACGGACATAGAATTATGGGTGTGGACATGCCCATGCATGACCTACCCCCTCAGCTCCCTTCGCTTTTGGCACATGGTAGCAAAAAGGTTAGCCATCACTGGCCTATAACATCTGAATGGACATGTCTGAGCAGAACAAATCATAACTGTAAACATACTTTCACAAAAGTTTGATGTAGAAATACCTTGAATGCGTTTTGTTTGGACTATACGATAAATTACTGTATCTTTCTGGAGAAGAGCTAATTGGCACAGCCCATTTTAATGTTCCATATAAGCTTGTTTGGTTGAATACATCCAGCAGTAGTGATAATTTCTAACAAGTGCTAACTAAAATGGAAATAATAACCTTGAAATCTCTGTTTGAATTAGGCCAATAACTTTAAAGTTAAAAATTAACACTGTTCATCCAGCAGTCCCTAAAAGGTGTGCTCTAATCTCTTTCAAATAACTCTTTGAGTAAATCATTAGTACTTTAGCCTTAGTTTTTTTAAACGTGATATTAATCATTGTTAAGATAAAAACAAATTAATTGAAAGGAGTGTATGTTACTGAAGTATTTCTATTTACAATTAGATTTGAAAGCTAAAATATGAATGTTTTCACAGGCCTTCTCAAATTAGCATCACTGGAAATACCAGCAAAAGAAGATACTATATTGTATATGTATAGTGAGCAATATTAAGTATGATTGTTTTAAGTTTTTTGTTATTCAAGAAGTTGAGTGTATGTGCTCCTAGGAATTCACATACACGTAGTCCTTGGCTGACGACCACAATTGAGCCCAAAATTTCTATTTCTAAACAATACAGTTGTTAAGTGAGTTGTGCCCTATTTTATTATCTTTCTTGCCAAAGTTATTAAGTGAATCACTATAGTTGATAAGTTAGCAACATGGTTGTAAAGTGAACCTGGGTTCCCCATTGACTTGGCTTGTCAGAAGGTTGCAAAAGGTGATCACATGATCCCGGGACACTGCAACTATCAAAAATATCAGCCAATCGCAAATGCTTGAATTTTGATCTCATGACTGTGGGGATGCTTCAATGGTTATAAGTGTGAAAAACAGTCAAAAGTCACTTTTTTCAGTGCCCTTGTAACTTCAAATTGTCACTAAACGAATAGTTGTAAATTGAGAACTATCTGTAGGCATACCTAGATATAGTTGGTTTGGAGTTGTTTGTCCTCAATTTAAAGAGAAAAGTGGGCAGTGTGACAAAAAGAAGTAGCTGGCTTTTCTGCCAAAACTTTCCTATCCTTCTTGGAGATACACTTTTAAAAATTTAAATAATTTAGTAAGTTTTCACATCCTGCCAGTTTTGGCCCTGTCCCCTTTTTTAAAGAGCAGTCTTCTGCATACCACACATGAATAAGAGTTGATCTCAATACAAAGGAATGTCTTTGCCAGCAAATTGGGAAATCCATTGGCATGTCTGGCATGTTTAAAGAAATCAAGTTCCTTAACTGTCTGGTGTTATTTAGAACCAGGAGGATTTTATTGCTAATAAATTCTATTTGGAATTCTGCTTCCATTAGAACAGGGATGTTAAACTCAAGGCCCCGGGGGCCGTATCTGGTCCACAGGGTGCTTAGATCTGGCACAGGGAGCCACCCTGGAAACCGCAAAGGACCAGCTGCAGTGCCTCTGCCAGTGAAAACAGAGCTCTATTTTCACTGACAAAGGTGAAGGAAGCCTGTTTTCTCTAACAGGGTATTCAGGCTACAAGCGTCACAGACACGAGTGAATCATGCTCACCTTGGCCATGTCCACCCTACCCCCCCAAGGACAAACACAACCTTGTTGCGGCCTTCAATGAAATTGAGTTTGACACCCCTGCATTAGAATATGCTAAAATGTTACCTCTGTTAGGGATTTCTCTTTCTTTCTTGAGTGCATTAGGTGGATATACAAGCTAGTAAAAAGACTGAAATTCATAATTCAGGACTGAATAGTACATTGTTATCGTAATGCACATATTTATTCAATACCTAACAGAAAGTTGACCGCTCTCTCATGTCCCATTGCTAGAGAGAAGAAAGTTTCTCACTATGTGAGTCCGCATTCGTCTTGCCCCAGTGGTGAAATTCAAATTTTCTTACTACCAATTCTGTGGGCATGGCTTGGTGGGCATGGCAGGGGAAAGATATTGCAAAATCTCCATTCCCACCCCACTGGGACCAGTCATTTGCCCGTTCTCTGAACTACTCAAAATTTCCGCTACCGGTTCTCCAGAACCTGTTAAAACCTCCTGGATGTCACCCCTGTCTTGCCCCCTTGTTGCATTCCAGTGTCCAGGATGTTACATAGACTAATTTTCAAAACTGAAATCTTCCATATGTTTTGGATTATAACTTCAATAATTCCCATGCTAGTTAAGGTTAATAGAAATTGTAATCTAAAAAGATAAAACTATGTGGTTAGCGTAACTATATAAGATAGATGTATTGCTACCTCTTCTCTAAGGAAAGTGTTACATTCCTTACTTGCCCTATTTTGAAGAGAATACTTTTTCTCATATTTATTGCACTTCATTTATAAAAAGCCAGTTTGTAAATGAACACCAAAAATACTAATATGAAGCTTGGTTAAGTACAATTAGATTATCCTGTCCTATATTTAGGATGATAAAAACAAGAAATACCCTCACTAATTGTAAACAAGTCTATACGTAAGTGTCTCTGAAAGTTTTGGAAGTTTACACTAGGCATAAATTACATTTATTTTGCAACAGGATTATTCTGCAATTTAATTTGTATTTATTCCGCAGTATAAATGTTGAGGTTTTGATTAACATTTATATTTGTAAGCTTTAGTTTTCTTTTGTTTCGTAGGGTGCAGAAGCTGTTGTTCTGGAGAGTGTTATGTTTGCCATTCTTGCAGAAAGAGCTCTTGGACCAAAACTCTATGGAATCTTCCCACAAGGCCGTCTGGAGGAATTCATTCCTGTATGTACCAGATATAAGCTGTGTGATAGTGGTAGTTGAATTTGATAGTGTAGCACAAATAAAGACAAACGTTATATATTTGCCAAGATGTACTAATAGGTTTGTTTTATTGTTAGATTGGGCAATATGTAGACAATGCAAACTTGATCTTGAGTTTTCTATATTAATTTTTGCCACTTTCAGTTAATGAAAGACATGATAGGGTATTCTGCTTTATAGTAGCAGAACGGAGAATGTCACTGTTAGAGTAAATTACGGCACTGAAAAATAAAAATATGTTAGTCCTCATTTGAGTTCCCTTATTTGTACATTTGTAATTCACCTGGTGGATTCTTTATTTGTCATCATTCATGTCCTTTTTACTATATATATTTCAGAGCAGAAAGTTGGATACCGAAGAACTAAGCGTGCCAGATATATCAGCAGAAATAGCTGAAAAAATGGCTAAATTTCATGGGATGAAAATGCCATTTAATAAAGAACCTAAGTGGCTCTTTGGAACCATGGAGAAGTAAGCAATAGAATACCATTTTTCATTTTGTGAGAAAGTTTATCTAATTTGAGGCACACAAATGTTTTTAAAATGTTCAATTATATTTTTATTTCAGAATACGATTGTGGGCAAAGGGTTGTACATATTTTCCTAGAATAGTAACTATGCAATAAAATCTTCATACAGGTACTTGAACCAAGTCATGAGAATCAAGTTTACCAGAGAGTCACGTGTGAGAAAACTGAACAAGATTCTCAGCTACAACTTGCCTCAAGAAATGAAAAACTTAAGGTATCATTCTAATTCTTAATAGTTTGTTAGTTCATGATTTTGTTGTGTAATTGGTTTAATTACTATATTGTAAAAGGTAAACTTTTTATGACTTATTTTTTTAATGTCTCTGTGTTTAGTACATCTATATCTAGCTGTCTAAGAATATAGTTGTATTGTAACTGTGTACCAGTGTTTTCTCATTGTCTAGACACTGCATTCCACAATGGAATATTTTCTTTTCATTGGTTGTAGAGGCAGGGCTAGAAGATTACGATAGTCGTTCCTGTGGGAGGAGATCATTACATCACAAAATCTGGTCCTGCCATGCTCTGAAGTATAAATGTGCTTGTTGGTTCCTTCAGGGGCTTCTTTGGTCTCAGCTAAACTCCTCCTTTTCTTTTTATATTACTCTGCCTCACGCAGATGTGATTCTGAGGAAATAAACTATTGAATTCAAGAATTGGTTAAAAGGTGCATAGTATCTCTTTGATTCAGATGTATATTTTCCTTTTGTCATGTGGCTATCTGTTAAAGAGGCAACTGGCTTCAGGTGAGACTGATGAATGAGGTGTGGACACCTGCTCCAAGGGGCAGCAGTCACCAGTATCCTAACTTTTTCAAGTGTGCTTCCTTTGAACTCTCTTTGGCTCAGCATTCTAAAACGAGATGGAGCTATCTTCTCCCATGAAAAGCACCATCAGAATCTTCTAAGCCTACCTCTGGATCAGGGAGAGAGGGAGGAATACTATACTATAGAATGCCCTATCTGAGCTGTAGAGAAAGGACTTCCACTGCATATCCAGTGTGCTGTTTCAGTGACATACCCCATTAATATGAAAAGAGCCAAGCAAGTATCCATGGCAGCCTATTATAATAATTTGAAAGTAAATTCTCTTCTCTCCCCATTATACATTTGCATGACATGAAATGTCAGCAAATGTTGTTCAACTGTGAATGTAGCTCTTTTGACCTCATTCCCTAAATGGTGCATCTACAAATCATATTACAACATACCTCTTTTGCTTGTTCTAATTAGAAGAAGTCATTGTGCTAGTTGTTCATAATGCAGCTATCAGACCATGAAGCACAGGGGGGGGAGGTGGCTTTCATGGAGCAGAGCTAGGACTCAAATGTCCAATTCCCCAGGCCTTGCGAACACAGAAACAAGCATGCTCTGGAACTGTTGGATACAAGTTTATTCAAGCCTGAGGCCTGGGACAAATGAGTATGTAGCAGTCTGTTGCAAAGTCAGTGCTGGGAGCTACTGCCTCCCAGCACTCTATATAGGATAGGCAGGACCATGACCCTCAGTCCCACAAACACAACCATCATCCGGCGTCGGTGTCCAATTCCATGTTAGCAGTCCACCATCCGGTGCTGAGGGCTTCTGTCCCATTGGCTGTAGACCATTTCCGGCCTGCACACTGTTGTCTCCAGCGCCAGCCAACTGGGGCCATAAGGCCGCCAGGCAGCTGTGTGGGAATGCCACCATTGCCACCTAGGCTGCCAGCCGGTGTACTGCTGTGCGGCTATTCCTGCCCCCATGCTCTCCAATTCCCCCCTCCCCCCCAGGTATGGCAAACCGATTGGGGCTTGACAGGTGTCTACCCCTACCAAGGCCACACCTGGAAGACAGTAAATATATATACGTTAATCACAGTTGTGTAACCATGGGTGCCTGATTTCCATCCCTTCCCCCTGGTTTATGGGGATAGGTCTTGTGGAACTTTCAGATTAGTCGGGTGGCCCGCATGTCCTTCCCTACCACCCAGGTGGCCTCTGTCGAGGGGTACCTTTTCCACTGCACCAAGTATTGGGAGTCTATCCCTATGGACTTGGGAATCTAGTACTCGATCGATTTCATACTGATCATTGCCAGATTTCCGAGTCCACACTAAGATCATGTTTACAGCTAAATTATGGCAAGTGTTGTCTCTCAGAATATTTATTCAAATGTTGGTTTGAAGAAAGGGAGGGAATAATTGACTCTACAAGACTTCCAAATGGCTCTCATTGCCTTACAAGTATCATCATGGGAAGAGGGAGAGTGAAGCCAGCAGGTTTTTAAGAATGCAGTAGGTCAAGCTGGTGTTTTGTACTTTGAGGAAACACAAAGTAGGAAGGAAATGTCTTCATTCAAAAAGTTTTCTTGATTTGGTTCGTATAAGAGAAGACATAGTTGGTAGAAAAATATTCAGGAGATGAGATGTAGAAAATACTGTTGTATTCCTGTATTTATGTTCTTAAGTTAAAAAAATGATTTTGATTTTTCCCCCTTAGATCTTTACTTGAAGCTACTCCATCTCCAGTTGTGTTTTGTCATAATGACTGCCAAGAAGGTACAATAACATGGTCTTTGCATTGTTTAGAGTTGTGATTGTCTTAAAAACTTAACAGCTATAGCAAAGCAAATGTTCATATCTAGACATCTGATTAAATTTAGGACATGTTCTATTTGGTTAACATCAGTGGTGAAATTCAAGTTTTTTTTACTACTGGTTCTGTGGCCGTAATTTGGTGGGCATGGCAGGGGAAGGATACGGCAAAATCTCCATTCCCACTCCACTTGGGGGAGCCAGGGGTGATATTTGCTGGTTCTCCGAACTACTCAAAATTTCCGCTACCAGTTCTCCAGAACCTGTCAGTTAAGGAAGTATAGAAACGAACTTTGGTGTGTGAAAATAATTTGTACTTTAAAATGGATTAGAGTCATTAAGATTGCAGGATTGTTTAGGCCTCAATCCAGCCATGCCCTAATAAATTCCTTCTTTCTACTATCATTTAAATAACACAAACACATTTACTAATGGCACTCTAATTCTTGATATGGACTTCAGAGTTGAGTGCACCTGCCCAAGATATTTGCACAGGGCATGAGTTTAGTTGTAGTTGTCATTGTAGTTTATTTAATTTGTATGCCGCCCTACTCCCGAGGGACTCAGGGCGGCTAACAACCAAAGGGGGAAGGGGATACAAATAGGACAAAAGACAGACAGATTAAAAAACAACAACAGTCACAACATTTCAAGTGGGGCTGGAAATTCATCAGCCCCAGGCCTGCCGGAACAACCAGGTCTTCGTGGCTTTGCGGAAAGCCTGGAGGGTGGTGAGGGTCCGGATCAATATAATTCCTTGGATCTCTCTCTCTTTTTTTTTAGTTTATAGATTGATCTATCTAGATGTCATTTGTAAAACTGAGAAACCTAGATATCCTCATCCATCTGCTTCCAAGTTG